CAAAATGATATATTTTATGTATTCAACTGTATATATTGTTCTGCTCACGCTATGTTTCTGGCTTGAATATCCCCTTGTGCTACAGTTGCTTTGAATCACTGACTTCGCAGCTGTGCCTGCAGTGAACATTCCAAGGTGCTTTGAAACGCCCACTGTTACGCTCACAGTCGTTAGTTTGTTTACAGCACGGTGGTGGCATGCGCCGAGAGCGGATGCCAGGTAAGAAATTGAGATGGCGATAGGCACGGTAGCCGGTTACACTACGGCATTCTAATCGTGAAGGCAAACCTTAAGCATCCTCGAAGTTTTTAACGCAACTCGACTGCGAAAAAATTCACGAATCTTCCCGAAGTGAATGATGACAAGTGGGCGATACTGGGTCTATATTGTCTACGTTGAAGTCACCGACTAGTATGAAGAATAGACGCACAGACGGATGGATAGACGGATTGAAAGAGTGGTGGACAAACAAGCAGTCGGACAAATGGACACATGGAGAGACGGACGGCGCAGGTACTTTCTCTTTAATGCAAATGCATTTCTTAGTCGGGCTATGTCAGGCATCCGTCGGGATCCATCCACCGCCCTCTCCCATAGCAACAGCTGCGGGCGGGTGCGCGCGCTTGTCCTCCCCCTAGCAACCAGAGCATGTGGTGATAGAGAGTGTATAAGAGAGGGTAGGTGCAGTGCTTCGCCACTCTTCTCCCCACGTTTGCTCTCTCTCCTCCCTACGCCCCACTTTCCCGTCCGCTCGCGCCTCACTCTCGACCATAAAGTTTCCTAATATACCCTCGAGGGAACTCTGGCACCAGTGTCTATGGGATCTGCAATGCACGGCGCTTCAGCCAGCATGGGAATGATGGGTAGTACACAGATGTGTCCAATCTCCTTACTTCTGGCCTTCTTCTGACTCTGTGCGTGTTCGTGTGGCTTGAAGCTGTTTTCTCACGAAACAGAAATCATCAAATGTTCAGCGGTTGTGCTTCACCGCTACATTTTTAGGTTCACCTGTTCAAATCAGGTCACGAAGTTTAAAAGGGGTTCGTTGTTTTCTTTGAAACAAAACCTAAACACAGGAATAAACGAAGCCACAAGTGCGATTCGCCACCCGCAAGTGTAGGAAGACTAGGCAAATCTGTGTACTACCCATCATTCCCACGGTCGCTGAACGATGGCGGCGTCAGAGCAGTTAATTTTAGGAAATGCTATGGCTCTCGACCGTTCGCTGGCTGGGCGCCTATAAAGAACATCCGTAAATGTGTGCTCGAGTACCATTCGCTGGCTGGGCGCCTATAAAGAACATCCGTAAATGTGTGCTCGAGTCGCCGCTTGGAAGGCCAGCGGCGAGCCGAGAACGCTGTTTTGTTCGCTTCACAGTATTTTTAATCGTCCACGCTACAGTTGCGCCGCTCGTACGTAACCAGCTGGTGCACGCGAAGCGCACACGCCACAAGCTCTCTGGCAAACACTCACAAAACATTCTCTTCTCGACAGTCGGTACTTTTTTCTTTTTTCAAGCGCGCGTCCTTTAGAAAGGCGCTTCCGACAAAGAGCGTTCACAATGCCACGCAGTCGGCCTCGAACTCGAGAACACGGATACGAAATAACATAAACACGCTGCGGACATTTTCAAAGTGATTCTTTTTATACGCGGCTCTGGCTATCACATTTAGTTAACTGCGGGTGTTGCTCATGTCTCACGGAGAAGCGCGCATGTAGAGTAACAAGTTCCGGAGTCACCGTATTCACTCTAACGTAACGAGAGACTAAAGGCGAAGTCGTTGTTAGTCGAAGCTTCATGTCCGGGTGCCGTCGTATCTCAAACGGGTATGGGCCACAAAAAGTGGGTAAATACCACTAAACATATATGCCACCCCTCCCACCACTACGCCCACTATTACCTCAGCAACGCTTTCCACTTCATCGAATCGACCCGCTAAATCAAAGATGCAGATCGGGCTGGTTTGTACAAATCTCTCATCGTAGGAAGAGCGAACACATGTAAAGGTGAAAGGACAAACAAATCATATCACAAAACAATGAAACCCACGTGTCAAGTTATATACAGTGATTTCTAGTTCATTGCTGTCCAACGCACCATCCAAACAGCGATATTCCTTCCGTGTATGTGCGACAGGAGGGGCGCTCACACAATCTAAATAATCACATTAAATACTCTCAACTATCAATCATTTAACAAATCTCTCTCGCGATATAAAATGCACGCTATAAAGTAGAGGGCACACAACCGCAACCATTGATATCACTTTTCGGCGCTTGTGTTGCGTCTGTCTTGTTGCCCGTACGTTGCTTTGCGGTTCGTACTAAGATGAATTCGCTAAATTAACTGGCGAAGCGAAGGCTTCTTCGGAAGCCATAAACTTCACTGCTTCATCAGTGCCCCCCGAGCAGTTTTTTTTTTTAAGTTCAAATATTTGCAACCAAAGGAGGTCATCACGCCATCGCGTTACAATCCAATACCGATATAGCTCTATTCTTTCTTTTTGGACGCAATGAAAACTCAACCCTTGTGTTGAAATCGTGGTCCCCTTACAAACGAGTAAATACGGTATACGTGCCAAAACTGCCACATTATAATGACGCACGCCACAGTTGTGGCCTTCGGAATATTTTTTTTTTTAACAACTGGGCTTTTTTCTTTGAAGTGCAGCTGTAAGTTTAAGAAGGGGGCGTCTTCGGCACTTCACCCCCTTATCTTATGTCGAACTAGACAGCTAGCGGAACACTTAAGCAGCCTAGTCAACCCCAGTGGATGACACACACTAATATATATATATATATATATATATATATAATGTTACCTTTTACTTTTTGGGGCGTCATGACTCGCTACATACGTCACACTCATTAAAGATGTACATTTACTCTCTTGTTGGAGAGGTCGCCACCCACCTAGTCGCTAAGAGAGGGAGGCAAAATCAGCCCCATACATTGACATAATAGGAAGAATGGGGGGGGGGGGGGTGCTGCGACGAACATTTGCCTGAAGCCACTGATTACCTTGCCTCCTGAAAGTGAACACTACACATGCCTTGGAATGTATATACAATTTTCACAAACGAATGTATATTACATGGCACATTTGTAGCTGGACTATGTAATTATGACCTCTACACAAGGACTCCCGATAACGTGCGTCAGATATGGGCAATTTCCTTGAGCGACTGCGGATGACCTCGATCGTATAAAAAAATGAAAGGGGCCGGGAATAGTCGTTACTACAATCGGGAATAAAATAAAGTCAGGTATAGCTGTAACAGCGAGAGCACGTGATCAAACAAGGGGCACTCTACGAGGCAGCTGAGTATTCGTATGGCTTAGCCACGTACAAGTGTGCGTACGCGTGCACACACAAACCCAACTCGCGTCCGTCTTGCCGTATACACGAAGCAGCGTGCGCGCCCAGCGGATGCAGAGTCGAGGTTCTTTGTTATCGGTCACGAGCCAGTTCCGGCCAAGGCGCGGGTAATATCCGGCGAGAGCCCTTCCCTTTCTCTCTCTCTCAGTCTCGCTCAGTACGAGCTGTTGTCAAGCTCCTCGGTGCGCAATGCTTGTGTGCCAACGACCGACTCGACGACCCAGGAAGGTTACGCGACAGTCGTGTTTATACTTCACAACCCAGACGAGGAAGGAGGTCCAGAACACGGGCTGTGAACCTGTCGGGAGCACCTTCACCCCCCATCCCCCCCCCTCCACTGAATGTCGTGTGTTTTCGAAGACGGTATGCCTATCGAGACAGTGAAACAAAACTTTATATGGGCCCTTGATAGCACTTCTGTCTTGATAGCACTTCTGTCTTGATAGCACTTCTGATAGCACTTGATAGCACTTCTGATAAAACTTGATAGCACTTCTGTCTTGCTTTTTCTTCTTGTGTGTTATCCCGGCTGCGGCGGCTGCATTTCCGATGGAGGCGGAAATGTTGTAGGCCCGTGTGCTCAGATTTGGGTGCACGTTAAAGAACCCCAGGTAGTCGAAATTTCCGGAGCCCTCCACTACGGCGTCTCTCATAATCATATGGTGGTTTTGGGACGTTAAACCCCACATATCAATCAATCTTCTTGTGTGTTTGATCTGGCATCTTAACCTGAGGTACAAGAGACAAGCAGTGTCCCCTATCATAGTGTTCTCTTTTTCCTTGTATTATTACTCGTTTGGTCAGGTTTCTTTATGTTAGATTTTTTTTATTACATTCACTCTTTTTCCTAAGCACAGGGTGGCCAGGCGATCTGATCTGGCTGACAGTCCCGACCTGACAACTGGCTGACCTCCCTGCCCTGTCTTTCGCTTCTCACTCCGCTTCTTACTGCTTATCATATCACTCGAACTTGACCATAGCCATAATGACTTTGCGGTGTCGTCAAAACTCAGATCAGATATTTCTGCAGTTTTGAACTTCTGTAGCACTTGCAGCTGCGCAACACTGTACTGGCCTACTTAAATATACTGGTAATTGCTGGGAACTTACAAACCAAACCCAGGATATGATTTTAGGACTTTGTAGTAGAGGTTTCCACAAATTTTGGTCACTCAGTGTTCATCGTGGAATATCTTACAGCGTGACGGGTTAAATACGGACGGAGAAAGGACCATATCTCGCTTGTTGCACTGTAAAATATTCTACAATGAACATCCACCGCGCGATTCTGCTTGGTTTAGTGTTTGTTAACGCTCCCCTAAATTCAAGTAAATGCGCTGCTAGAATTTCCCCTGAATCGACATTCGGCCGTTGCGGCCATGGGCTACGCATCTATGAACAAAATTGCGTGACCACGCTAGTTGATATCCTACGATTACGTAAACAGCACGGAAGGGACACACACACACACACACACACACACAAAGGGAAAATCATTAGTTACTTGTTCTTTGTGCCCCTTACACACTGTTTATGCAATCATGAACTCTGAATTTAGGCTAACAGCTGAAAGAAGTCCTAACCAGTTCTAACAAGAGCATGTGGAAGTAGTATCACGTACCTGTGTATACCCTGTATTCCGAGCAGGAAAACTGGAAAGGAAAAAAAAAGAAAACGACATGGTCAGCATTCCAGTGCCAACATTCTATTTCAAAACGTGAAAAACATACATTACGTAATAAATGTACTAAAGAAAAAAATGTAATAAAGCGCATTTCGAGACTCATACACTTTTGGGACTCCTTAAATAGTTCTTATAACTATAAAGTTGAAATACATAAACGTATACGAGCGTTTTCTTTTATTCTCTCGACTAATTACTTCACGGTATCTAGATTTTATAGTCGAACTTTATGTTATTGGTTAGTGGGTGCGACCGTCATTCGTGCTTCTGTCTGAACGTACACGATGTACTCTAACGAGGCTCGCAATTTTTTTTCGGTAACCTCGTTCGGAGAATCAGAACCGCCCAATTATTTCCGGGGGATTCGACTTCCTTGGCCTTCGCATCCGCTGTCCGAGATGCGGTGTGACGGTTTCCTTCCTTAAATCCCGATCAAATTCAAGAACCGGATTCACACGCACATTACCAGCCCTAGTTTATGTTTCTGTAACTGTTGGCCACGATTATTATCGGCGCATCACCCTTACAGCAACGAATGTATTCATTCAATATCGATTCAGCAATTGAGTAGCCGGCCAAATGTGTTCTCATTAACAAGGAATCGTACACTAATTGTGAGACGACTTCAGCGAATCCTGCGAAGATCGTGACGCCGTAATATAGCAACGGCGCTATAAATAACGAACCTTGGAGAGAACCATATGCCATCAAATTATCGCGTCAGCGCTTCGAAATCCCGGGAAGTGTATTTGTACCTCAATAGCTATAGGAGTCGCATGACCTAGCGGACAATAGGCCACGTATGACGTCACAACTGTCACGTATATGACGCCAGCGGTCAAGTGACACGTCGCTGTGTACCCTGGCTCTGGCCTTATATAAATAGTGCCACCAGCACAGTAGTAAAACGGCGAAGTAGCACGGCCTTTTAGGTTACTGGCTCACCCAGTGAGGCGGGTCAACCAGCGACACTGGCAAAATAGCGATACATGCAGCAACCACTCCACCAATGACGTCATAGACGTTTATTCTCAAATCACAGGACTCCGAGTTCTTGAGGTGCACGTGAACCCAACCGCCATGGTCCAACTCGTTAAGCGAGTCGCTTCTTTGTAACCGCAAGCCCAGCCGTGGTGGTATAGTGGCTGAGGTACTACAGGCTACAGAATCGAAAGTCGGGCTATAGTTGGATATGCGTGGTATAACTGTCGTTTAGGCGCACGAAGAAACCCAAAGGATTGATTGCCTGCCTATATATTCTTCTCTTCCCAATAAATCTTAGTTACGAGAAAGCGCTTTTACCCTGTCCATTTGTGTTCTTTCTTCTTCTTCTTATGTGGTTATTAACGGGAAAAGAAGAGAAAAGTGAGCCCCGTAACAGACTGCATCAGGTGCAACACCTCAACAGTAGCTCACAAGGGTTGGGGGTGAGGAAGGATTAAAAGGATAGGATTAAAAGGTTTATATAGAGAGAGACGAAGGAGAGAGATGCGCTTAAACAACAGTTGTACTACAGGTATACTCAACCGCAGGTTGCGGGATCGAATCCCGGTTAGCCGGTTACGGCGGTGGCATTTCCAGTGGAGGCGAAAATGCTGCATGTAGGTCCGTGCGCTTGGATTTGGATGCACGTTAAAGAACCCCAGGTGGTCGAAATTTCTGCAGCCCTCCACTACGGCGTCTCTCATAATCATACGATGGCTTTGGGACGTTGAACCCCCCATATCAATCAAATCTTTACTGTCGTAGCATACGGTGCTGTTTCAACAACTTCTAAGTGTTCCAACTCTTATGGAACATTTCGTAGAGAAACAACGACACGAAGAAGTGTATATTGAACGAAAAAGCAGGAACTGAACTACTATAACCTACATTTGGATTTTTAAAAGATAAACTATTCCTCGCACTTATATTTGATATCAGAAGGACATCCAAACAGATACTCGAGGATATAAAACAAACACAAAAGAAACGGGCAAGAGAGTGGGTAATGATTGAGAAACAACGGATATTACAACGACAATACATGCATAACAGACACAACAAACTAAGACAAAACAAGCGACGAAAGAAACGCCGTTAGCATCCAATAGCGAAGAAAGGCGAACAGCACACCTGCTTGAGTGAGCAAGGCCGTCGCTTTACAGGAAGTTTGATTTCAGAATAAGAAGGACCATTAGGTGGAAAGGAATCAAGAACAAGACAGGGGAGGCTTGCCTCTGATATTCGAGATACCAGTGTAAAAGTCGTCCGACCTCGAGAACACGCAGTGAGACCGCTTTTTGCCGGACGCGAATAAAAAATCAAATAAACGAACAACCAAAAAGTCCGTTAGATCAGGAGATCTACTGAAGAAGAAAAAAAGATTGGGGCGTTGCTCTACAGCTCGAAAGAGCTGGCCACTTCTTACACGAGCGCGATCCCGGCAGCGTGGCGCCTTGCATCGGCGCGATAACTTTGAAGCCGGCGTAGCTTGTGTGCCGAGAGGCACGACAGAGGCGGCGGTGTCAGACAGTTAAATTAATTTGAAATTGAGCTCTGGAGGTATTACGTGCCCCCACCCACCCCTCCTCTCTCGTTTATCTGTTATGAGGCGCGTGTTGCGTGGCGGGGTTGTTGGCAATTCGTACTTGTACAAGACGAGCGAACAAAAGGACACGGATGATGATGATGATGATGATCTGTGGGGTTTAACGTCCCAAAACCATTATATGTTTATGAGAGACGCCGTAGTGGAGGACCACGGAAATTTCGACCACCTGGGGTTCCTTAACGTGCACCCAAATCGCAAAAGGACACGGAACAAAAGCAATAACAGTCGGTGTGTGCACGCCTCTTCCTTAACGTCCACGTATTTTAGTACGTTGATATTGAAAAACTATGAGGCCCGCCGTGGTGGAGATATGCGTACTAATTTTGACCACCCGGGATTCGTTAACACGCAAGTCAATCTAACTACGCATTCTAATTTTTTTTCTAGCATTTGAATTTTCCTGTTTGACTTTATAGGTGCGCCATGCGGAAATAGACCTAAATGTCGAAATAAAGCATGAAATTCGCGTTTATAAACTGAGCTTCAATTTCGTACACGGAGCGGTCTGCGCACACAAGAAATTCGCATGGCGACGGCAAATTCGCCCTCGAAGAATGGTGTCAGTACTCGTTCGGCTTGGATTGTCATGGCTGACGAAGATTCCAAAGATTCTCCAAACCTATAGATGCACCAAGTTAGGAGGGGGGGGGGGGGGGGGGGCTGAGAAGAAAAAAACTGACGCACTTAAGTACACATCGCACCGGCGTACAGACACCCACGACTGCCGGTGCGATTCCCAACATCTTCGCCGACATGTACGCTTCTCGGCGTTGTTAGAGCCCTACTATGTTGAACGAAGTTTGATAAGGAATAAAAAAAAAACGACAGCCGTCCTCGGTTGATTCTGAGCCCCGTCAGTTCCGTTGTATGCACCCCTTACTTCTCCTTCCAAGGACGGCGCCGATGCAGGAGAACCGATTGCCGGCAAGCACATATAAGCGCGCGCCTCGGGCAACAATCAAGCGAGCCACATGTGCACACTTCCATTTCATACCCTACGGCTTCATCGGCGAGAGGACGAAATGCCTAGGGCCTAAAGCGGAATCTGTGGAGCGGAAGATAGGCAATTCCCCCAGTGAAGGAACGCATACGTGCCGTGCGTGTAATATACGCTCACGAGTGCATGTGCGTCCGTGCGTGCGTGCGTGCGTGCTTGTGCGAAGCGGTGCGTGATTCTGACACGGCCACCACCGCTAAAAGGTCCCAGTTTTGTAAAGGACGTTTTCGAGGCCGGCCACTGAAGTTTGCTTGAAAGATAGATGCACGCAGAGATGAAACCCGGAGGGAGTTGGACGAAGGCGTTCAACTCGTCTCCCACAAACTCAGTTTTTTTTTTTTTGCTTATGTGATTCTTAAAGGGAAAAGAAGAGAAAAGTGAGCCCCGTAACTGTCTGCATCAGAGTGCGACACCTCAACAGTAGCTCACATGGAAGGGGGGTGAGGAGGGATTGAAAGGATAGGATTAAAATGTATATATAGAGAGACGAAGGAGAGAGCGAGGCGCAGGGACAGCGAGCGACGGAAGTAAAGAGGAGATAGGAGAGATGGACACGGTCGCAGGAGTCCGAGGACGGGGCACCACTCGGCGAGTGCTCTTGTCGGCGTCAGGAGATGACGTAGGGCGAGCCCAGTCGGCCAGAGCTGCGCTGTTGTCGCAGATCGCGGGGGCACAACCGGTCGGCGCGAAATCCAGAGAAACACCCACAGTATCTGCAGTTTGCATGTCGATACGTATGCCCGTATACTGACGCACAAATTGTAGGGCAGTCGCGACCCCTAAAAAAGTACAGGCTGTGACATTGGACGTGTAGAAATGTGGCTTATTAATAAAAGGTAACAATTAAAGCAATTTTAGACCAGAACTTTGTAAGCAGTTTCAAGCAAGGGAGGGACAGCACTCCAGCTCAGACCTGCAGAGTCACGTTAGGCCAGCGGCGCAAGCCAGCGGTACCCTGGACTTGGGGGCTCAACCCATGCACACGCTCCGGAATCCACCTTTTTGTACTCCTTCCTTAACAAAGCTTCCTTATCTTTATGGATTGTAGTGGCGGCGCCAGTATAGTAAGACAGCTCCCGTCCACCTGTCCTAGACTTAAGCCTCCCGCTCCATGACCGGTCAATAGCAAATAGTCAAAACACAACGCAGCATGCCCCTCGTCTGCAGCTAACCCTGAACGAAATACGAAGCTATGTAGAGCTATGTATAAAATGCGAAAAATCGTAACAACAGCCACTTATATTGGTAACATACCAATAAATATTACCCAGATCGGAAAGCTCTGATACCCTTGAACTGCCTTCAATTCTCAAAAGAGTGCGCAGACAAACGCTTCAGAATCACCACCTTGCTTCCTGGAACGTCCGCCTATCTGAAA